ATTTAATTTTAATTATATTACTACATTTACCATATATATTATTTTTATATTATTTAATATAAATATCTCAAATTTTTAACCGGTTAAATTGGTTGATGTATTTTATTACAATGTGAGTTATAAATTTATAATCTTAATTTCAATTTTTTACTTTTATTAAAGTTTTGATTTATATTTTATTGATTTTTTCTTTCTTTTTATGTACTTTTTTACTTTTATTATTATTATTGGATTTCCTTGAGTCTAATTATTACTTAAAAAGGATGCCGATTATATTTAACATATTTCGTAGGAGTACGGGTAGTGGTCTTTGTCATGGGCAATTTAGACATTTTCTTTGTTCTTCTGATACGCACATTTAAAACGTGACAGCAATAAGCATTTATTTGGCGATGAATAGTCTTTATTTTTATTATTATTTAAAAAAAACAGAATAGTCTTTTTGTTTTTTTCCTTTTTTGAGGCAAAAACAGAGGTCTTTATTTTGTTTTATTTGAAAATAAAAATTAATAAAGCAGCAACAATATACCAAATTTTATCTCTAATCTTTTCATGTGACTCTCAATTCGCCTTTCGATCTTCCATTTTAATTAAGTTTCTCAAATTTATGTATTATAATTTTATAATTAGGTCATTTGAAAAAAGAATATATTTTTTTTAACTTTTGTTACAAAAAACTTATGTCTCAACTGCTGATCATTCGCGTGTCCATGTGTTAAATAATATTAATACAATAATATTTTAATAATTCATCAACTTTTACTTACCTATTATAACAAATTTCATCAAATAATCTAATTTATAATTTTTAAAACAGTAAAATTGAAAATTTTAAAATTTTAAGAATAGAAATGAGAAATGTCAAAAATATTAGAGACTATGGTATATATTTTACTTAAAAGATTAGAGATTATTGTTTATATTTTGAATTATATATGTTCAAGTTGCATAAAGATTTTTTCTAGGAGGTGTATATGTTTTCACATTTTGTATTGATATTCACTTTAGAAATTGTTTCTAGTAGGTCATTTAATATATAGTATAAAAAAAGGTCATTTAATATATGATATTTCATAAATATTCATGATTTTCAATATTTAAAAATATAGATTTTGAAATTTGAATTAAAATTTTTTGTCCCCAAACTATCCTTAACTAATTTATTATATTTTCTAAATATTTTTTTAAAATGAATTAATCATCGTTTAATACTCACTTTTGTGATTATTATGAAATTTTTATTTTTATAAAGTATTTAACAAATATAGAAAATATATTTAATTTTATTATTATATTCTTATTATTTTGGATTTTTGTTATCAAAATTTATTTTCAAATTTCACTTACAGGCAAGGTTTTAAATGTTGATGTCGATGTCTCAATTTCATGGAAATATCGATAAAATGTCGATGTCGATAGATATTTCTGTAAAAATTAGAGAAATTAAAAAATCGTAAAAATATTTAAATTAACAAATAAATATTTTTTTATTTCAAAATAAATTTAAAATAATTAATATTAATATTATATATATATATATATATATTAGTGACTTTTTTTTTTTTGACAAAATGTATATATTAGTGCCATTTAGTATTTTCATATTTTGTCGATTTTTTTATACTATAATGAAAATGTCGATTTACCCTTCATATCGATGTCGAATCCATGAAAACATGAATATGTCGATGAAAATGTCAACATGTCGACGAATATTTAAAATCATGCTAATGGATGATATGTCACGAATTCTCTATGTTCAAGCAAGATTTGTGAAGTTCCGACGGTATATTCCTTCAAGACGACCAATTCTTCAATCATTTCGGTGGCGTTTTCCTTCCCATCTTCAATCATTTCAGTGACTTTATTTCATTGTTTCGGGGGCTCTTTTTAGTTTTTCGACAACCCATCTCTCTTCCAACGATCCATTAATTTTTCCGACGGCTTAAATCTCTTTCCCGATGACCCATTAATATTTCCGACATGTTATTTCAATTTTCCAATGACCATTAGTTTTCCAGCGACAATTATACAATATATATGTTTTAATCCAATCTACGCTATAATAAATATATACTCTGTTCAATAGATTATAAATACATACCTCTAATTGGTATATAATAAACTATTATGTTATATAATATATACCTTTTATTACAAAGCATACGTAGCATATACTCAAGATATACTATCATTCATAACACTATAAATTGTCTACAAAACAATATCATTGAGGAATGATTTAACATTAACAGTACCGAAATATTACACTAAAAAAATCTATATATTTCTTTTTCTTTTTATTTATTAAAAATATATCACCATATTTAAATTGATGATTTATGTTTGTAATTCTTCTTAAAGGGATCCCTTTATTGACAAAATTATAAGTATTTAAAATTTTAGATACTTTTGTAATCAGGAGGTTAAAAATAGGCGAGTTGTGTTCTTAGTATTTAAAATTATAAGTATTTAAAACTTGATTAGTATATATTTAATCGAGTGGTTAAGTTTTGAAAAGATATTTTAATTGAAATCCACTATTTTACAGAAATCTCAGAACATCATGGGTGCTTTAATTTTATAAAGAAGATTTTTTTAATTTTTTATGTGAACCATCTTTCTAACATATATTTCAAAATGAAAAAATGTATATATATTAATATTCACACAATCTTTTTTTTAATCAACCCATCTTTTAACTTTCAATTTTGTGTTCGATAAATCTCTACATTTGATTCCGTCGCTATAATACTTACTATATTATTTAAAGTTTACACGACGAATTAATATTGAATAGGTTTAAACATTGTGGTGTATGTATTAAAAAGATAGAATTAATAAAATGGACCTATTAAATATAAAATTCAAAATTCAAAGATTTATCATAAATTTTTTAAATATTAAGACTAGCTAAACAGAGTTTTGAAAATTAACTGACTTATTACAAATTTTTAAAAATATATATATATAATGATTTAAAAGTATAAAAAAATATTATATACCATTCTAAGGGTTTAGCGCCAATAGATATTTAATTAAAATGAGGAGAAACAGCCTAATAATTGCAGTAATGAAGTCACGTGTTTGCTACTACAACTTGTGTACCAAAATTACCAAAATAATTATAATAATAATAAATAAAACTTGTGTAAGAGAAGACACGTGGGCGCCCATTTCAATCCATGTTTTTTACAACAAAAGCATTTCAACCATCCACGACCAAAAGTTAAAATTCGATCCCTACCAATTTAAATAACGATTGAAGACCTGAACTTTTAGGAGTAAAAATTTAATTTATATACTTTAAAATCAGTAACGATTTGTAAGAAAAAAAAAATTAACGAGTGATTTATTCTTATTTGCAAGAGACTGAATTGAAAAATTGAACTAATTTAAAGTTGAATTAACAATATAATTTATAGTTTAATTTGTACATGTGGATCAATCATATCATACTTTCGTCAGGCCGTAGGTACATAGAATGTATTTGATTTAACTTACTAAATGATTTTAGAGGGTTAAACTTTTTTTTTCTATTAATCTAATTTGTTGGTAACAAATAAAAATCACTTTTGAAGCGATCCAATTGGATTTTTAATCGTTTTTTGAAAAATCATTTTAAAGTTGATTCTAAAAAATGTGATTCAGAAAGTGATCAAGAATTATTTAATTATATTTGTATATCATTTTTAGATATAATGTAATAAATTTGTGATTATGTAAACTGAGACACAAGTACGTTAACGAAACCTAATTATACCCCTTCAAAAAAGAGAAAGCAAACTAAAACTAAAACTAACTATATAAAAAAAATCTTTTAATTTTTTAAAAATATTTAAAGAGTTAGAAGACATATCAAACTCACTTTTTGGATCTTTTACTTGACGCTTAAGAGGTATAATATGAAAATTTTATTTCTTTGATGTTTTTTTTCCCTGAATCAAAATAAAAAATAAAAAAAACTTATTCGTATTATTTGTAAAAGATATTGAGAATCGAAATAGAACCCAGATATATAATAATTGCTAGAATATTCCATTCTTATTTTTAACTATTCAAGACTACGCTTTATTTTCAAATTTGAGGTGATCTATCCATTATATTTATAATTGATTAAACACCCATGAGAATAATGTTGATACTTATATAAGTGTAGAGTTCAGTTCGATCAAATTAAAAATTCATATACATAGTTACTTTTCCCGCAATTTTTTTAAATTTCGACTTCTTTTGTTTACCGGTTAAATTACCCAAAAAAAAAACCACCTTAGATTTTGCTGTTTATTTAAAAAATATAGATTTATCTTTCTAAGGTTTCAATATACCTAATATATACCTTTCATCCTTTATAAACGTCTCAAAAATTATCTTTTGAGCAAATATTCATTAATATATTGAATAAAAAATTTACGTGACAATTAATGAAAACTTGTAAGTAATTATTGATACCATCACAATTTGACATTTAGCATGGAACGTCATTGTCTTTATTTGTCAAATTTTTACTTTCTACCACATCAATTTTTTGTTCAAGATATTAACGGATGTTTATACAAAATAGTATCTTTTTTAACCTTTGTGAAATGTCAAATTTAGATTGAAACTTATGAAAAAGATAAGAATTTTATTATTATTATTATTATTATTATTATTATTATTATTATTATTATTATTTCTTTTTGAGAAGAAACGATAAGAATATTTTTTATATGATGCAAAAAGTTTTTTTTTTCATTTTATAAAATTATATTAATTCTCCTTTCCATCATCACAGGTTGAATTTTTATCCAACTTTTACCATAAAATTAATTCTTGTGACCCAGAACTAGTTGAAAGTTTCCAGACCAAAAACTTAATTAGTCGTATTGGGAAGACTAAAGTCTCAACATTTAATTTTATGGTTAATTAAATAAACAATATCATATTGTTGTGATGTCCAAACAAAGTTGAGATGATGAATTAATCATAGATGTAACATGTCTAAGTTCAACAAGTAATTATCGAAGAAAATAGATACTCGTCTTTATTATTTAATGAAAAATCCTAACAAATAAAAACTCTTCTGAAGAAGAGTCTGACGACGAGAGTATTGCTCACCTGATTAAGACATTACATTATTTTCTCTCTTTAAAAGTCACGAGTCTAACTCTCATTTTCTTCGGGCGAAAATTCCTTCGAGGATAGGATAACACATAATCAGAGCAAGGGATATCAAAACTATCTGTCCAAACATCTCCTCAAAATTACTCTTCCCCACAGCCAGCCTCCATGTGCCACCCACAAGGCAAATCGTATTCCAAATAGCCAGCACAAAAAATGGAACCATCAACACTGCAGCTCCTTCCAAATCAAACTTCCCCTTCTCATACTTTTCAAGTTTCTCTTTATCCACAGCTTTGTTGGTCAAGCTCAGGTTCATCTTCTTCATCTTCAACATCTTTAGCACCGCGTCCACCAGTCCGAACAAGCACGGCGAAACCGTTCGGATAATGTAGATCCGCTGTTCATTCCACCATGTCCTCAAGGTGCCATTGCTAGAGAGCACATCAAGCAAGTGATGGAAGAGGGAAGAGACGTACACAATGGCGAACACAGCGAACCACCCGTCCGAGACCTGATGAAAATTCCACCAGTTCGACCATGCGGTTAGTAACGAAAAACAAGAAACGAGAAATATAGGACTCGTTTGATAAAATTACTGTTTCTTGTTTCTGTATCTTCATTTTTCATGAATAAAAATGAATTGCATAGCTCAAACATCCAATAATTTGAGAGTATGATAAAATAATTTTTTTTATTTATGTTTTGGAGCAAATTGGAAATGGAAATAAGAAAGGAGAAACTTATTTTGATTGTTCTAAAACTTTTATACAATTTTGAAAATGTTTTCAAAAAATGAGAAACAACAAACATAGTTAGTTGTAAAATATTTAAATTTTTTAAAAAAAAATTGAAAACAAGAAACGAGAAACTGAAATGTTACCAAACGAGTCTATAGGAACTATTTGGTAACGTTCTCATTTCTTATTACTCATTCTGATTTTTCTTAAGAAATTTAACCATTTTGCAACTAACTATTTTTATTGTTTCTCCTTTTCTAAGAACAACATAAATCTTCTTTCTTATTCTCATTCCTAATCTATTCCAAATCACAACTAAAATATTGTTTTCTGGAGGAATCATGCAATTTATTTTTCTTTATTAAAAATAAAAAAGAAGAACAAAAAACAAGAACGTTGTCAAACAGATCGATGATTACCTTGGGAAAGAAGGGAATGCCCGTCAACAAACCCCATTGCGGAACGAGGCCATAGAGAACAACAGCAATGGACAACAATGGAGTCAATGCGAAATAGGCATAGCACATGCTGTGAAGAATGGACATTCTTGAGACGCCATAGGTGAGAGGACTGAGCTTTGATCCAGCGGTTCTGAACAATTCAGAAGACCATTTCAGCTGTTGAACCATGGCATCTTTCATGTCAATGGTGGCGCACCCCAGAAAACATGGCCTGTTTGGATACAAGTATACAGAACTCCACCCCCTGCACTGCAATATATACCCTGTGAATGTGCTCTCCAGCATACACGCATATGAGTATCCCATCTGCACCAAATTAAGAATGGAAATATTACCTAATATTGGTTTGTTTTGTTATATAGTTTTTATAAATATTTTCAAAATTTCTAAAAAATAGGTTAAAAAATACTTTTAGTCCCTATATTTTCACTAAAGTAACAATTTAGTTCCTAAACTTTAGTTTGTTACGATTTAGTCTATGTACTTTTAAATTGGTAACAATTTAGTATTTTAACTTTAATACGTAATAATTTAGTCCTTGTAATTTAAAGTTAATCACGATTTAATCCTTATCGTAAAACTTTTTTTTGTTAAATTTCTTACATACAGATTGATAGACTAAACATGGACCAAATATGTTTATAAATTAGAAAGATTAAATTGTTATAGGATAAAATTTAACACTTAATTTTAATAAATTTTGTTACGATAGAGATTAAATTGTTACAAATTTTAAACTACAGGGACTAAATCATTACAAGCTAAAGTTCGTGGACTAAATGGTTATTTAACTGTCAAAACCAGCATAGCTCAAGTGGTTAAGACACCCAGTTAGAAGTTGTTTAACTTTTGGGACATATTAATGAGATGGAAGATTGAAATTTTCTTAAAAATCTCTAATTAAACTTGCCTCTTTTCCCCATTCTGTGTTTTGCTCGTAGAAACAAGAGGCCAAACTTTCAGCTTCTTTTAACATCTCCTCCACAGGATATTCCATGATCTGTTTGTCCTTCAGTGATTCTACAAACTTGTGGGAAGTACCATAAACTTCTCTGCTGTTTTTGCCATTAAACCTATCTGTAAAGGAAGAAAAGGAAAAAAGAAATGTGAAGAAGAAGAAGATATGAATAAATTAAGTAGATAGTAACAGAATAATGGTGTAATATGGTAGTGTACCTGGTTGATTAAGACTCTCAAACAAAGCTTTTCTTTTCAAGTAGTAGCCAGTTCCAGACATTACTGGACCTCTCAACCCATCCATCCCCTGCCATTTTGTCTGAAACAAGACACCACAAAATTAAATTAAAGATTTCAAAACTCAAATTGAGTACTGTTAAGATCTCGTTGAAAATATTAAGAGACTTGACAAGGTTTATAAATATATGAGTTTATATAGGAGATCTCCACATTCTCAAAATGGTATGATATTATTGTATGCTTTGGCATAATCCTCGCAACTTTATTTTGGTTTTACCTAAAAGACCTCAAATCAATGATGTTGTCCCTCGCATATATACCGATGATTTTTTCCTTTCATAGTCAATGGTAGGACGACTTTGTTTGCACCTTACAAATTCAACACTCTTTTCGTTGTTAAAATCATGAATGTTAAAATATTATTAGAACCCAACAAACTCAAACGAGCGGTCTTATCCAAAAAGAAAAAAAAGATCTGATCAAGATTGGTGAACTGAAACAGACTATTATCTGTGACTATGTTAACGATCTAACATCGATGATTTAACTAGATTTATAAATATATAGACTACTTCTCTAATTATCGGTACCTTGAAAGCTGATCGAGCTTGGCCATCGTAGATGTCATTCTTGCTAACGTTATAGAAAATCTGGGGAAACTGAACGAAAGCAAGAGAGGACATTTTTTGATCTAAATGGAAACACATTGCTTGCTTGGCCGATGTTGGGTCGTTGCACACCATGTCGCAGTCCAACACCAATAAGAACGGGTTATTGCTTATCATCGCAGACACTCGAATCTGTCCTAAAAAATCCGTTTGATAAGCATTATTTTGTTTTTTTTTCCAACTATTTTTTAAGTTTAATTTTAAAAAATCAAATAGTTATCCAACAGAGCCGGGTGATCGGGTATAGAGAAAGAACTCACAAGGCTATTGACGTTGCCGGCTTTGTACTGGTGAGGAATTGAGGGCCTTCTCTCCCTAGAGACATACACGAGCAAAGGCATCCGGTCGTTTTCTCCATTTCTCCGACCGTCAAGAATTATCTGCATACGAAAATACCCACGTGGACAAGTGACTATCAATATTAATTGAGAGGAAAAATGTCTCTAACAAACACACAAAATCGTTAGTATGAGTTTAGCTCATCGATTAAGGTATCTTACTAATTCTTTTGAGGTTGGAAGTTGAATCTTCATTCTCACATTTATTGTACTCAAAAGAAGAAGGAAGAAAAAGCGCACACACACAAAACTTTCCGTTCTCATGCTATCTCACGACATGTTACACAAAAGTACCAAACCTTAAATTGATATCTATAATGTTGAATTAGGATTCAGTGTAAAAATTTAAATGCGTAGGTTAGAGTAAATTTAATATGGTAACCAACACATTTGATCTCAAGTCTCTGTGTAATTTTAAAATATTAACCAGATTATTAGAGTTATTAATTTGCAGTTGTTTCTACCTTTTTCACTTTTATATGCACCTTTGATTTATGCAGGAACGTAGCCTATGTAAAAGGGGCTGCATCCTTTTCTGATTTAACAAGCCTGAAATATAGAGTTGTCCTTATTCCTTTAAAATTTGTAATAATCAATATCTGAACTTTAGTATAAATAATAATTTGGTCTTTCTAATAATTTAAAATATAAAGCAATTTAATTTCTAAAGCTTTAAAGTTGTAAAAATGTTAGTTTCCACTTTGAAAAATCTCAATTTCAAACTATCCAACTAGATCATTAAAGACTACTAAATCATGCTGTAAGTTTAAAAATTAAGTCACTAATTCAATTAAAGAAACATTCCAAATGTTTTTGTTTTTCTAACATTTAATATGATATTTATATTTTTTATCAATAAAATCAAACTATGTGGTTAATAGTCAACATTTTTCCTAGTGTGTGGGGAGAGATTTCGAACTCACAACCTCATGATTGGAAGTAAGTATTTGAGCTATGCTCGCTTTGACTTAATAGTCAACATTGTATCTTATAGGACTGCTATTAAATTTTTATCAATATGAGATAGAAAGGTATAAAGAAAGAACTTTCTTTTGTCCTTTTTTTTAACAAATTCATGGTACATACCTCCACCAAAGCAGATCTGTCTGGCACAATACGAGTGTTTTTCTCTTCTTCTCCAAATCTTTCGATGTTCTTCTTCAACTCTTCATATTTCACCTATCCGAAGCAAACTTTCAAAATCGTAGACAGTACATGTAGTATTTTTCTTTGAAAAGTTCGGGTAATGATCGGTTTGTTGTCCAAAAATTTTGACAGATTTTTAAATAAATTTTATGGTTTTCTTAGTATGGTGGATATTCGAATGTACAATCTTCTAATTAGACGTGTCTTAATCCGTCAAGCTATACTCAAATTTTCATGAATTTCATTGTTTGTCATGTGAATTTGAATGCTTTGAAATTATATGTTTTTAAAGTCAAAATTTCTTGGATTTTATATAAGTTTGTGTAATTTTAAAATAAATTACTTATTTAATTTTTTTATAAATAAATTAAGATTAAACACTTAGATAATTTTTTATTTTTTTTCTTTAGGAGAAACATTCAAATATAGTGACTTAGGGCTCGTTTGATAACGTTGTTGTTTCTTGTTTCTGTTTCTTTATTTTTAACGAAGAAAAATGTGTTGCATGGTTTCAACCTCCAAGAATTCAAGTAAGATAAAACAATGGTTTTTATTTATGTTTTGGAACAAATTGGAAATGGTAACAAGAAAAGAGAAACTTGTTTTGATTGTTCCCATGATTTCTATACAATTGTGAGAATGTTCTCAAAAAATGAGAAACAAGAAATAGAGTTAGTTGTAAAATAGTTAGATTTCTTGAGAAAATTGGAAACTATAAACAAGAAAGGCAACGTTAACTTCATTTTAAATCTTTCTTGGTAAAAATAAAAGATTAGGAAAATTTACAAAAACTACCCCTAGACAATAGAGTTATTATTTATTTTATTACCACGATAGAGTTGTTACAATCCCACTCTCAAACTTTTGATTAGACTCTCAGACTTTTAATTTAATTAATCACCTTCTTATACTTAATTACCTTTTTTTTTTTTACAGGAACCACCTTCTTGTACTTAATGATTACAATTAAACCTTTAAATACTGCAAAATGAACCGGCTACACTTAACTACTGTTACAAGAATTATAGGACTCAGCAATCAAACTCTAATTTTTTACATAAATTTACCAAAATTTTTAATAGTTAATATTATTTAAAATTCTATAAAGTTAAAAACATTATGTTATATTATAACAATCTTATAAATTTTGTAGTACAATAAATTCAAAGTATGGAGTTTAAATCACTGACCTCAAGAGAATTAAAATGTGTTAATATTACTGTCTCAATAGCTAACAATCTTATAATTCAAAGATTTTATTTTAACAACCTTTATAGTTAAATGTCTTTAGTGCATTTTATCATATTTAAGCATTTAATTGCAAGGGTGATTAAGCAAATTAAAAATTTGAGTTTCTAATTATAACAACTTTGAGGTAGTTTTGCAATTATCTAAAAATTGAAAATATTTGATCAAATCTCTCAAAAGAACTCTTTGCAAAAAAAATAATAATAATAATAAATAATTTAAATTTAAATTAAAAAAAAAAATCTCTCGAAAGAACCCACCTTGAGTTGACTCTCTTCTGATCGGAATTCATCGCTCCGGAGAAGCCGCTCGTCGTCGGAGAAGGAGGAGAAGTAAGCCTCCGGCGACCTACAAATCAACCCATACTTTCTGCAGAAAGGAATCCACGACTCAGCAAATTTCGCCGCTTCTCTCGTACCATACAGCGTCACCGGAGCGCCGCCGTCATCGGAAAGATACACGGCAAG